ACATGGGAAGGGATGATATATAAATACATGTATATTTTGTATATATATATTTTATATATATATATAGCAAATATATATTATACATATATATATATATATGAATTCGAATATATATATATATATATATATTTCAATTGATTTTTCAATTAAAATCCAAATTTCCAACCGATGTCCGTTGGAATTTTTTTCAAAATTTTCAAAAAAAATTTCAACCGGCATCCGTTGGAATTCGGTTGGATTTTTTGTAAAAAAAATTTCCAAAAAAAATTCCAACCGGCATCCGTTGGAATTCCGTTGGAATTTTTTTTAAAAATTTTCAAAAAACATTCCAACTGACATCCGTTGGAATTGTTTTCTAACAAACATCCGTTGGAACTCCGTTAAAAATTTGCAACCGATTTTTCCAACGTTAATCCGTTGGAATTCCAACGGATATCCGTTAGAAATACCGTTGGAAATTTCCAACCCAATTTTTCAATTGAATACGTTGAAAATTCCGTTAAAAATTTACAACGGGTGTTTCCAACGGATACCCGTTGGAAATTTTCAACGGAAATCGTCGTTGAAACGCCGTTGAAAACCGTTGAAAATCCGTTGGAATTCGAAGATTTTTTTGTAATGGAGGAGTCACATATTTCAATGTAGATATTTGATATATATATATATATACATACATACATATATATACGTGCACATATATATTGAAAAGTAGGGCTGCACACCGAAGTCAAGGTGCAATGTCACAACTCTTCACACGAAAGGGAAAAAGCTCAATCACATTTCACTCGTTTCACATTCATCAAACATTTATTTTCATATATATATATATATATATATATATATATATATTATTGAATGGACTAAATTATTCGTGTTGATAAGAAATATAAAAGTAAATCAAATTATTCATTATTCCAATGGAATTTAAATCATGGTCCATCTCCATCTCTCTCTCTATTCCTTTTCCTCCCCAACTTTTGAAATTCACTTTATTTTTTTTATTTTCTTCCTTTTGGTAATGCAAATTGGTGCAAAGCTTTCAAAAGAAAGCACATGAAGCATATATTTTTTTTTTCTGTCATAGGAAGAAATCAATGATAAAGCATTTTTAGAATGGAAGAAGAAAACAATGAATTTTAAAAAAGTTAAAAGAGAGGACCATAAATCAAGGTGTAATTAATTATCTTGTGTATTACTTTCTGTATAATTTCATTTTATAGGAATATGTTCCCATCTATCATTTCCTTTCCTTGTCACATAGGTTTTCCATGTTCATATTACTACAATTCTGGATTGATATTTCGAATATCAATTTATTCTAAATTTTATTAAGATTAAATTTGGATAATTTAAAAATATATTTTTTTAAAAAATTGTTTATTCATTTTTTAATGAATTTATAAATATCCAAATTTTAAAAATATCCATAACTCAATTATCCATAAAATTTTAAAATATCTTACAAAATTAAAATAATCTACTTAAAAAACACCAAAACTATCAACGAATTAAAATATAATTATTAATTATTCTGTTCTATCCGATTCCACATCTTCAAATCGAATGGTCTACCTAGAATGCAATTATATTCGCTGTAAAATAATTACGATTATGAACAAATTTTTGGAATTGTTTTCCTAAAAGCGACATAATTATCGATTTATCAGAAAAATCCAAAACGGTCAACATAGGCAAGCGACGATGTTCCTCCACGTGGCATAACATGACAGCCCAAAACCCGTACAATAAAAAAATCAAGCAGGAAAAAAAAAGAGCAACGTTTTTTAATAAAAATCGACAATAAATTAAAAATAACAAACAACAACCGTCGGACCGTACCGGACAATGTCATGGACCCCACCAACTCATTTGCCACGCTGGCAATTCCACGTGGCTGCCAAACATGGGTCCTACGTGTACAACCATCCTGCTATAGACGCGTCGCTTAACCCACCGCATGCCATTTATTACTTCCATTTCACGGGGAAACAAATTTCCAATTTTATCCCCCAAATTAATTTTCAGTTACATTATAACCGAAAAATAATTTTTAAAAGTACACACACGTAAACGTAAATAAAGATTTTTGTATAGTTTTATTTATGGAGAAAATTAATTACATTTTTCGTTATTGACTTTTAAAATGATATAATTAATTAATATTCTCTCTCTCTCTCTCTCATGCCTTGATGTGTGTATAAATAGGAAACAACCATTTGGTTGGGGTTCGTTTTGATTTGATCCAAATCCAACGCCCTCTTCACTCTCATCAAAGCAAAAGCCGAAACGCATGCATTTGTACGATACATACACACACCTAATTGTCTTACCCCCTCTCTCCGATTCAATCGCCATTCTTCTTCTTCCTCTTCCTCTTCCTGTGATTCTATACCATGGCCATTGAAGCTCGTCGTCTTCCTCTCTCCCCTCCTCTTCTCTTAACCAACAGGTTCGTTTCTCTCTCTTTTCTCTTTCTTCGCCGTTTCCATGGAATCTTATGACCGGAGTTTCCTGGGCTTCAGCGAGTTTCGTGTATTGGGTAAATTCTATGATCTTATCTGGGTTTCCTTTTTTTTTTCTTGGTTGAAGAGAATTGATGTTGAACACCATGGAACCAACCGGCGGTTTCTGCACCAACCAGATGACGTACGGCGTCCCGCCACCGGTTACAGCGGCGGATACGCCTCTTCTTCACCTGTACGGCTCCGCTGTCCCCACCACAGCGGATTCGTTCGCTCCGCAGATCGTCAAGTCCGTCGACGTTTCCTCCTTCTCGTACTGCGATGGCATCAACAACAACAATTGTGGCAGCAGCAACATCAACAGCGATTTATGCCCGTTACCGTCTCGAAAACGGTCCAGAGATTCTATGGCCAATTACCCATTTACTCATCAGAACTCAAGATCGTGTGCTCCTTTGTCATTTTTGGGGCAAGATATATCGTTTCAGATTCATCAGCAGCAGCTCGAAATCGATCGTTTGATAGCGCTTCGCGTAAGTCTCTTTCCCAACTCAGAGAGAATCGCTTGATCGTCCGTTTCAGTAAACCTTAAACGAACATTCATCGTTCCCTTTTCGTCTTCGAGTTTCTATCATGAATTGAAACGTCAAAGAACACTATTGTCTTTCAAGATTTTCCTGATAGGAATTTTTCTGGTAACTGCTCGTTTTTAATATGTTTTTAAGTGCTATCGTGCGAACGAACAAGTTTGTCGCAATGTTCATCAATGGCTGACACAGTGACGCACCAGAATGACCCGTTATTCTCGAGATTGCCATTTGAAAACGAACGTTGACGGGTTGTTGTTATTTTCTTTTTGTCTCGTTTGGGAATTTTTCTCAGATGGAGAGAGTGAAAATGGAGATCGAAGAGAGGAGAAACAAACAAGCAAGGACGGTAATGGAGGCGATAGAGGAAGCGGTGATGAAGAAGCTGAGAGCGAAAGAAGAAGAGAGGGAGAAGATCCGGAACCTGAACAACGCGCTAGAGGAGCGCGTGAAGTCACTCGCCATCGAGAATCAAATTTGGCGGGAACTGGCTCAGACCAACGAAGCCACCGCCAACGCCCTCCGCACCAACCTGGAGCAAGTCTTGGCGCAGGTTAAGGACCTGGGCATCCCCGGCGCACGGCAAGGCTTATCCTACCCCGATGTCGATGCAGACGACGCTCAGTCCTCCTGCGGGAGCAGCGGAGACGACGAGGAGGTGGAGAGGCGCACGTTAGCGGTTGAGGCGGAGGATAAGGGGAGGATGTGCAGGAACTGCGGAGAGGTGGAATCGTGTGTGTTGCTGTTACCGTGCAGACACCTATGCCTTTGTGGGGCCTGCGGGTCCACTCTGCACGCGTGTCCTATCTGTGGGTCCCCAAATAACGCTAGTGTTCATGTTAACATGTCATAGGAGGAAAAAAAAAAAAGAAACAGGAGAAAATATTGGAAAATATATACATTTTTCCTTTTCTTGGACAAAATCTGCAACTTCCGTAAGAACAAATTTCAACAAGAAATTCTTTTATTTCTTTTCTCTAATTTATAATGTTTTAGATGTGATATAAAGGCACATACGGAGATTTTGGTTTAAACTTTTAAGTATAACAAATTTTCCATTTTGTTGAATTTTAAAAATATACTTTTTCATTAATGTCAATTAGGGTAGGACGTGTACATTTTCCGTGGACGAAAACGTTTAAATAAATTTCAAATCAAATTAATAGCCTATCGAAAAGCTTAATAATAATAATAATAATAATAATAATAATCAACTTTCCATTTTCGCACCTTTAAATTGTTAATCGTCTGCAGATTCTAAAAACAGTCATTATTGTTACATGCTGGAACAATAAAGAGCGTATCTTATTATTTTTATTTATTTAAATTTTAAAGGAGTTGAAGTGGGCCCTACGGAAAAGAGTGGGGGACACGCGCCGACAGAGACGCTTGGGGTTGGAGGACGAAGGAGAAAGCTGACACGTCGGACGCCCGCAATTCTCGCTGTTTTTGTTCGTCCCTTGCTGCGTCCCGCTCTCGTGCCCCACCTTTTTTTAAACTTTTTAAATATTTTTTATTTTTTAATTATTTTGACAAACCATATATTGTATATAAATTATGTGATTAATTAAATTTATTGAAAAAAAGGTAATAGTTAATATATTTTTAGATCAAACTCAATTTGAATACGTTGATATACTATTCGATTCTGTTTGATCTGAAACGTTAATTCTACAATCTAATCCGTATTTTATTTAATTTAAAATAAAAAGGTATATTTAATCTAAATTGAAACGCTCGATTTAATTTAACACAATAACGAGGTCATCGTCTAGTCTTTCAATAACAAATTAAGAGTTGGTAGAAATGGTGTGAAATGCCATCACTATACATACATATATGTGTATATATATATATACACATTGGTTTGGTAAATTGTGACAAAGTTATGATTACTTCTAAGCCCGATCTCGTACGTAGTTTAATCAAAACAGATAAAATAAACTTATGATGCAGAGCAGATGATCGAGATGGGAAATAATATAAATCCCAATATAAAAAAGCATATAGTTTTACGGTTTAATTAAAAAAAAGAAATAAAGGATAGGATTGATTATAATTACTTTAATTATTGGTTAGTTCACCTTGGGTTTCAAAATTACCCTAGCGTCACGCATGGGCATTTGATTACAATAAACCCATGACTCCAATAATTAAATAACTTGTTATAACAATTCTAATATTGTCTCTAATTATATAAAATTAAATGGAATTCAATATATATCATATTCGAGATATCTAAAAATTGATTGCACCTAAATTAAACTAATTAAAATTATTATATATATATATATAAGAAAATAAAATCTTAATAATCAAATTGAAATCTCTGTACATACCCTGCATATGTACATTAAATTAAATTATATGACTATACGAATACTGTCTGGTAGAATTATTAAAACAGTAAATAATATATTATTTTTTTTAGAGAAAATGAAAGCAAAAAAAGAAAGGGAAGAAAACACGAGAAAGTGATGTGCGGAAAGATGATGCCAAAATTAAAGAGGATGTTATGAATACAAAAGTCCAAAAGCTATCAACGACGTCTTTACTCTTTTTCTTCGTATATTTTTTTTAATATTCCAATAAATATTAATAAACTATATTAATTAGAAACATTGATCGTATCGATTAAGTGATGATAAGCATATAATATCAAGAGAATAATACACTCAGTGGGTTAAACATTTTGTTTATTAAAACTATATTGAACTTTTAGAGTTTGGATAATATATATACATATCTTAGTTTAGTTATTTTTGTGTTCGATTTTTTTTTTATTTTTATAATTTAGAATTTTATTAGGATCCAATTTTTATTAAAAAAAAAGTACTTTTGTAAACTCATTTGTTTTATTTACTTATTTTATTTTATTTTATTTTATTCTATTTTATAAAAGTTAGATTTAGTTTGTTTTTAGATTTGGATTTATTCAACTCCCAAACCAAATGACCACAATGAAGGACAAGATTTTTTATTTTTATTTTTCAAAAGTGGAAAACCTAATAAAAGTCTTATAAATTAACATAAGTTAGGTTCAATCTGCAAATAAATATTTTAAGAGTATTAAAGGAATGATGAATTGGATATCCATTTGATATATATATATTATTGAGTGTGTAATGTAAGCATACATGCATTGGTATGTTTAAACAAAAAAAAGGTTATATATTGAAATTGGGGAACAAAACATGGGAGATGGTGAGTGTGCTGTGCACTAAACAGTTAAGAACATATTCTTATTATTGTTGTTTGAGAAAGTGCTGTTGGTCAGATTTCATTTATCTATTTTTCTCTGTTTTTGCAAAAAAAATTTAAATTGTAACCATGATTAATGTAATATTTTAATCAAGAGTTTTTTTTAAAATATTTGATATGAATCATATCTTACATCCGAGTTTAGAAATATAAAACTGAATCCAATAAAAATAACTATATTTAGATCAAATTCAATTTAAAAACTAAATAAAGAGCCTTTTTCATCGGAATAATATAATTTTTTATGATTAAAATCATTAAAAACAAAATTTTATTTAGAAAAATAAATATTTTCATAAAATTGATCATGCATCAGATTTAAATAAAATATTTTTTGAATAAAATTTCAATATATAAGAGAATTTAAATAAAATTGAGCCCGATATGTCAACCCTATTTGGTGCTAGGGTTTGTTGTGTCATGTAAGTTGTCCCCTTTGGATGACAATAATATCACTTCAGTTTTTGGTGGGATCTTCTTTCTAATGTTTTTTTTTTCTTCACTTACTACCCTTTTTTACTTTTAAGGTTCAAAAAGATTTTCCAAGTTAAAGATAAATATGATTTATTATTATTATTATTATTTTCAACTCGTCGAATTCTTTACATTAAAGGACAAATCGGAAAATGAAATACATGACGTGAATCTCACGTCACTGATCAAATCGAAAGTGTGAATTATTTCCGCCACCAATTAAGATATTATATGTCCTTACCTTATATATAATATTGACGTCGATTAATATTTTTAAACGACATCGATTAATATTTTTGTGCAGATTTGCCGCTATTAAAAATTAAAATAAGGAAATTAAAAAAGAGAGAAAAGAAGAAAAAAATAAAATAAATAACACTTTTATTCCTACATCTCTTCTTATTGTTATTTTACAATGAAAATAACTCATCTATTTATAAGAAACAACTATAAAATAATTAAATAAAAAAATTTACAAAAAAATAATATATGATGAAAACTAATAAATCAATAGATATTTGACACAATTATCATTATTTGTTAATTGATTTTGAGTCTTTAATTTTCTCTCAATCATTCTCATAATCATTTCCAATCAATTTCAATCTTCTTAAATATATATTTGTTTACTCATTTCAAGAACCGCTTGTTTGAATGGGGAATGTTAGTGTAGAAATTTGTGATTTCACCGCTGTAAAAACCCTAAGGCATATATGTATAAAGCATAGGTCATATATATACAAATATATGTTATATTATATATATATATATATATATATATATATATATATATGGATCTAATGGAGGGATGTGATGATGGAGCACTCGGCATGAAAATGGTCCATCTGTAGCCTAGTTGATTTGGTAGCTTTGCCTTTTAGTGTTGTGCGTCCTAAAAACACTTTGTATCTTAGTTTTTGGAGGAGAGGACAGGGACCCACATATATATATATATATATACACATATGCATATATATACATATGCATGCATATTTCATTTTAGGTGTCCTCCTTTCTTTAGATTTATACTATTAGAGAGTATTAGAAATTTAATGGTAGTGTTAGTATATAGTAATTTCATGTCAAATATATATTTTTTGATAACCGAATATTATGTACTAATGTCCAAACTAATCCCGAGATCGGGTTCCATTCTTTGAAAACCTATTATTATAGGTTGGATATATATATAAAAAGCCGTGCATTTCATTGCTAACCGAAAAATAACAACGAATACAGATTTTGAAGGTGACAAGAATATTTATTAATCTCAAAAATCACATGTACAGAAAGCATGTGTATACATACGTGCATTTCATTATTAAATGTTGCTATATGCACGACAATAAATAGCAATTAAACATAGAATATCTTTTTCATTCACACGTAGACGATGTAGCAACTACATAAAAAAAATATTGCCCGAAAGGGAATGAGATTTGCCATTATCTTAAATGGTGGCTTAGTGGCCGGTGATGAGATTAGAATCTATATTGACAAAAGAGCCAATAAAAGGAGAAAATGATAGAGAAAAAGCACTAAGTTCTTCTCCTTTTACGTGGGATTATCAATACATATATGACTCTTTAATATATGGGTGGATTTGGTGTGATGTCTTCTAAAACACTCACTACCCAAAAGCTATATGTAAACCATTAATTATATATATATATATATATATATATGTATGTGTGTATATATATAGTTTTCATCATTGAAACCCTAACACCTCTTCCCATAAAATGCAATAGAGAGCCCCATTATGGATGGTACCTTTGAAAAGAAGAAAAAGGAGGTAATGAAACACTGCACCTCATGTGAATTTTTAGACTTTAAGACCACAAAAGACTCCATAATTTTTTTTCTCTCTCTATCTAATAATAGTTTATTATATTATTAAAAATGACCTAGTGGCTTATTAACAATAGTAATGACGTATCAAAATCATATGCCGTACTTTATGCCAAATTAAAACAGGATCCCATATTAATGGTGTGCAAATTTATAGAAGTAATTAACAGTTATGCAAATTTAAAGATGCAATAAAACATTACTTAATTAGAATAGAATATATATATATATATATTGTGCATGTGGTATATGCATATATAAAAATACATATATATATATATATTGTATGTATATGTATGTATGCGCACATCTCCCACAATGTGTGCATTTGACATCTCCCACAACAATTTATGGATACTTTTTTCTTTGGACAGATAAAAGTGTCTAGAAAAGTG